GTTCACCTAAGAACAGACTACCGCCTGCTAAGTCGGTGTATACGATTTACATCAAGTGAAAGTTGACTATCTAGGCTAGAATTAATATACTTCACTCACTTTCTTAACCCTGTTCTATTCATTTGCATATCTGCTTCCTCCAACGGAACTCAGCAGGAGTTAATACATGCTAGAAATGCGGTCTACCACAACTGCATTATTCCTTATTGTGCTATATTTCTTTTTGGGGCAGACACCATGACTTCTGAGCTAAAACAACCATTGACCTGAAGTATTTTTTTTTCATCAACGTTATTCGTTTTCTGTACACTTCTCTGTCAGTACTATTCTATTGCATGGACTCTGTTTATCCCTGGTATCGTGAAGTTGAGTCGTATACGTAAAATCTGGATGAGTGGACAACATTGCTCAGAATCACAAAAGCCGCTTCGGCGTTCTTTCTTTCTGCTCATCAAATATATTCACACAGAAGTTCTGTGCTAATTCATTCTTGTACTCCTGATATCACGGAGTCAGTGTAGCAATTCTTTGAGGCTCGCTCGTTTCGAAGACAAAATGAGAATAGTATGGTGAAAATCCCACCAAGAATACAAGGAAATGAATGATCTAATGAAATATTGAAAGCATGCTTTCCCTTTGATTAATTTGAACCAAAAATGAACACGTTATTAATTCTGCCCACATTGTATTACTTGTCTATTCAAATCCACCCAGTAAATGATGCTGACACGCGCATATCTTATTAGCGACATAAGTTAAGAACCTGGTTGTGTGATTCTGCAATTTCTGTCCATTCATTTATGTGCTTGCGTTAAGTGTGCAAATCACCGCTCCACCACCACCCCTCTTCCCAGGCAGTCTTTGTATGGTCGCGGCTTCCCTTCCTGAGTGTTGGCTGTATATTCAATAAATAAAAAGGAAGTAAAAAGACACTATCTCCGACTGTTGCCTTGGCACACAAAAACAATTCTGATGGAGACGATAGGATAGATCGGTCTATCGATATATGGATTTCAACTGACCTTTACCCGGTACGCAACCTGGTTCCAAGTTCAAAGAATCCGTGTTCATAGAAAAAAGAATATTTCTGACTCATTTGTATGGAGACTGATTTATTGTTCTCTGGTAATGGTTTTTAGCATGGTAACTGATTGATGATCCGTGAAGGATACCGCGGTCAATCATCAATCTCCAAAAACTACCTGAATGAAATTGTCCGGTTATCACTCTTAAAATATAACAGTACGTATGACTGACGCTTTCTTTATCAAATGCCAGGAAAAAAATTTAAAAGTCTGTTACTGTATCAAAAAACATGGAAATGAGAAACAGATTTACACAGTCATCAATGAAAGACTTACTTTTCATGGACTTCTTCTTATTTTCCACCGGTTTAAAATGAATTGTTGGCATAGGACAGACTAACTGCATTGGAGTGGCTTCAACTAGACAAGCAGCTTTTTTATCCCAGCCCGCACCTTGTAAGTGTAGGTTGCACACATAGACCCCGTCTTTTGGAGCTGCCAGCAGATTTGGGTCGGAAGTGTTTTGCACTGTGAACTCCCAACTCAGACCGTCCACAGAAATACTGTTTTGTCGCGCGGAAGTTTGTAGTACGGCTGTGAGAAATCCAGTAGGGAATGTGAATGCCCCAATCCAAAATGCTTTAGGAGCATGTGCTGTGCGAGCCCACTTGGCAAACATATCCACTCTGGCTGAGAGATCACGCGCCCAGGAACCGAGAGGCTTCAGCGAACTATACGTCTATTGAAGTGAAATCAAAGTTGATAAATATTCAGTGAAACATATGTACTAACAGTTGCTTCGATCTATGTTGTCCTTACTCGGGTTGTCGCCCGCCCGTTCGCTTCAACTGAGTCCATTAAAAAATTAAAACTCCACAATCAATTTACCATAACAGAATTGCCTACTTTCGATTAAAAAGTAGTTATTATTAATTTCCGAAATACAGCTGGCGTGTTGTTTTATCAGAGCACCATCTACCATTGTGGTGCCGATTGGAATCAGTATCCTTTGTCTCAGACCCGAATGCCATCCACGACTTTGTGGCCAAAATAGCGCTCAGTTCAGTTTATACAGCCATCAGCCATGCACTATCAAGCACCGGTTTTAG